AATCATATGCCTGGGTCTAAACTTCAAGGGACTCTGGAAGGAAGGGAACATCGAAAATCTCAGTGAGAATTGTCAATGCCAACTAGAGAATGAACAATGCTAAACTCTCCTACTTACTACTTACTGCCATCCAGCCATTCTGATTCATAGAGACTTTATAGAACTGCTTTGTGGGGTTCTGAGAGTGTATCTTTACTGGAGTAGAAAGCCGCATCTTTCTCCAACAGGGTGGCTGATGGTTGCAAACTGCTGACTTTGTGGTTAGCAGCCCAATGTGTAGTCCACAACACTATCAGGGCTCCTTGCTAGACTCTCAGGAAGGGTAACTGTGAAGAGGGAAACCTCAAAATTATTAACAACAACTGGAATGGGGTCTTGACTTTTCATTCATTTGGAACTAGTGTCACCTTTCCATAGTATTCTTTTCAAACATCACTTTAAAATACAGGATCTTAAGAAATTTCAGGGGAAAAAAGTTAATTCATATAAAGGTTAACAATAACAAAATTCTAATCATTTTTCATCATACGAAGATTTTCTATGTGAAGGCATTTACCCACAAAAAGATTTCTGAAGTAGATGTAGTTTATTCAACCTAAAGTGAGTAAAGGATAATAATCAAATAAATTCTGTGGAATTAACTTATTTTACTACAGTACCATGCAAATGCCATGCGAGTATAAGCAGAAAGTGTGCATTATAAACACCTTCCAACATAGGATATATTTCTGCTAATTAACTGTGCACCTGCTACAAGTCATGCTTCCTAATTGATGTGCAAAAAGTTGGGATGATCAAAATGTGCCTCGTGGTCAATACTATGCTTACTTTTTGTGTGGATTCTGATTAAAGTATAGATGGCCTGTACAAGAGTGTGGTGCAATTACTGTCTGTGCCCAAATCATTTAAATAGCAGTGAAGCAAGTAATAAGTGATTGCATGTACTAAAAGAATGAGAGAAAATAAATATATTCATTGAATATTTGATATTCATGAGAATTTTTAAATACTAAAAAATATTTCCAGCTAAGCATCTGTGATTAATTTCTTGCAACTCTGTGAAAGTCTGTAAGAATAGAAAAACATGCTGTGGTAGTTACACAATTTCATGTCAACTTGATAAATAAGAATGAAGGGGTGGAATCTAGGCTGTCAATCAGGTCACAGGCTGGTGATCCTTCCTTGTGGGCATGGCTTTATCATGAGGATTCTGGGACATCTCTTCTTCCCTGGAGACAGGACACACATTCTCTCTCTCTGCTACACATTGCTGTTGACAAGCCACATGGAACCATGCTGATGGCAGCCAGAGCCCTGGAGATGCTTCCACTGCCAATGGACCCACAGGACTTTCCACCCACTGGCCTGTGGTCTTCCTACATTTGGCACCATTGCATGTGCTGTGTGAGTCTGAGGAGGAATTCATGAGCTAATATTGGACTTATTGGCTAATATCAAACTTACAGACTTGATCTGGACTGGGATGAGATGTTTTATTGATGCATAATTGCTTTTTGATATAAAGTTTTCTCTTTCATGTATATGATATGTCTCTGGATTTGTTTCTCTAGTCAACTGGTCTAACACACATACTCTAAGTGGCAATCTTCACCAGTGATCAATTCAACTAAGCTAATCCAAAGTAGGAAGTCTTTTTTTTTTAGAGTAGGAAGTCTTATAATTTATAACTTGCTTTCATCATTTACATGGCTACTTTTTGTCTGTTTGAGACTTATTTCAATCTAATGCAATTGTCACCCATTAGCAGTGGTGCAGCGATATGGTCATACCTCTATAAATTGGGATTCTTTCCTGGAGAGCAATTTGGTGATTGTAAAAAAATCCTGAGAAGGATACATATCCTTTGACCTAGTAATGACATTTCTAGAAATTCATCTGAACAATGTAGTCAGGATTTCAATAAATATTTATTTATGTTTAATGATGTTAAAATAATTCAAACAAATACAGAAATAGTAAGAAAATCAAATAGACTAAATATGTTACAGTATATCCATATGAGAGATTATGAAGAAACCATGAATTATCATGCTATGTAAACATATTAATGATAGTAGGTAAGATATACTATCAAATAAAATGTAGACAAAATAGCAGGAAACTCTATTATTTCTTTTATTTTAAATATGCATAATGGAAGTATGTATGTATGCATGTTTAGGGCTAAATACTGAGGTGTCAGCAGTTTATAATCCCTAAAAAGAGTAGTGTGAAAATAATTATTTTATACTTATTATTCGTCTGTATTTATAAAATTTCAAAATAAACCTACATTACTTTTGAAATAAGAAAAAAACTTTTAAAGCGGCATTTTCTAGTTGAAACAAAGTTTACTATTTCCAGTTATAATTATGATATTTAAATATTCCTTGGTTATCATCCCTTATTAATGTTCCATAGTAATTTATGGTATCTGATAGCAAGCTCCAGAATTTTCCAAGCAGATAATTTTCCTATTTTGGAACAGTGGCTTACTTATGAGTTCACTGAGTCCCCAGTCTTATCATTTTTACATTTTGATTAAATAATTTCATTATCTTGAGTAAGTAATCCATATGCAGTTGGGAATCTAATTCCCCAAGATTCTAATAAGTGTTTCAATGGAAGCCAGGAGCAGATGCTCACATGCATACACTTTAAGAGTTCTATTATTTTTGATGATAATAAACCACGAAGAAAAAGGAAAAATAAGATGCCATTTAAATAAATATACAAGGGGGTACCCCCTCAAAACCAAACTTTCCCCCCAAATTTTGTAAATTATTTTACAAAATAACCTTATCACCTTCAAAGTACTCTCCATTACACTTAATACATTGGTCAAATCTGCAATTCCAGTCTTGGAAACATTTTTCAAACTCATTGACATTTCACCTTTTCTAAAATGAGAAAAACACTCATACATTTTAATTTTTCCCATAGTGCTGTCCTTGTAAGTTGTGTTCAACATCACAACAGTTTCTGCAACATTTTTCCTGAACGGGAAACAAAAGTTCACAGCCAAACGCTATTCTCTTAAATTGGGCATCCCCAAAGGGCATTTATAGAGGTCTAAATACAGGCATGTACATATGTAAATATTATTTATATATGATGATGGGGAAATAGATCTATGTGCATATATTTATAGGTTTAGTATTAAGGTAGCAGATGGATATTGGACCTCGACTCAAGTCTTCCCTCAATGCAAGAATACTTTGTTCTATTAAACTGGCATTTCATGATGCTCACCTTCACCACACGATCACTGAAGACAAAGTGTGTGCATAAGCAAATGTGGTAAAGAAAGCTGATGGTGCTCAGCTATCAAAAGATATAGCATATAGAGTCTTAAAGGCTTGAAGGTAAACAAGTAGCCATCTAGCTCAGAAGCAGCAAAGCCCACATGGAAGAAGCCTGTGTGATCATGAGGTGTCGATGGGATCAGGTATCGGGCATCAAAGAACAAAAATTCATATCATTATGAAGGAGGGGAAGTGTGGAGTGGAGACCCAAAGTCCATCTGTAAGCAACTGGATGTTCCCTTCCAGAAGGGTCACAGAGAGGAGACAAGCCAGTCAGGGTGCAGTGTAGCACTGATGAAACATACAACTTTCCTCTAGTTCTTTAATGCTTTTTCCCCTCAGTTATAGTGATCCCAATTCTACCTTTCAAATCTGGCTAGACCAGAGGATGTACACTGGTACAGATAGAAACTGGAAATACAGGGAATACAGGACAGATGAACCCCTCAGAACCAGTAGCGAGAGTGGCAATACCAGGAGGGTGGAGGGAAGGTGGGTTAGAAAGGGGGAACCGATTACAAGGATCTACATATAACCTCATCCCTGGGAGACGGACAACAGAAAAGTGAGTG